GCCAGCTCAGCCCTCCAGGGGGCGGGGCTGGCTGGCATGTGGTGCTGGGGGATCGAACCGTGGTCCCTGTGCTTTGCCAAGCTTGTTCCATGTAGGTGCTTTAGACCACTGAGCCATCTCGCCAGCCCCTATATAATTTTATATATACATATATCATACAAAAATACAAAGAAGTATGCAGTGTACATACAAAGAGCCGGGGTGGTAGTGCACATCTGTAATCTTAGTACTCTAGAAGGTGGAGGCAGGAGGATTGAAAGTTAGAGCTCAGGCTGGGTAATTTAACAATTTAGTGAGACCCTGTCTCTGAAAATTAATTAATTAATTAATTAATTAATTAATTTTAAAAAGGGATTGGAGGGCTGTGGAGAGAGCTTGGCAGTCTAAGAGCCTGCCTGGCATGTGCAAGTTCGATCCCCAGTACTCTATGCCATGCTGGCCCCAGAACTAAGTATGGTGGTGCATGCCTGTAATCCCAGCATTACAGAGGCGGAGACAGGAGGATCACTATGAGTCTGAACTGTGTAGCAAGACCCTGTATCAAAAATAAAAAATAAAAATAAACCGGGCTGGAGATGTAGCTGCAGTACCAAAGGTCATGCTTCAGATTTTATAAAATCAATACATATTATGTAGTATCTTTTTAAAAAATTATTAAACATTTAAAATAAGGCTTAATTTAAAAAGCTTAAAGATAAGAAAATTGTATCCTCTTTAAATTTTATGATCCCAAAGTAAAAATATTAACTTGCAGAAGAAAACTATACTTACTTCTTCCCCATATTTATTAAATGAATGCCATGAAGTCAGCGGAGACTGAGTTTTTGTATCATTTATCCTGAATTTCTCTCTCTCTCTCTCTCTCTCTCTCTCTCTCTCTCTCTCTCTCCCTCTTCTTTCAGGGCCTTGCACATGCTAGGCATGTACCCTACCACTAATCTACATCCTCAACCCTCTTTCTCTTTTTGTCCATTTCTTTCCTATGAAATTGGCAATGTCCTTCCTACCCCCCCTTCCCTTACTGTTCTTCAACTTCTACTAACCAGCCTTACTGTTCTTCAACTTCTACTAACCAGAGCTTGAAATATTAATCAATTTCTGATAATGATTACTGATCACTTCATTAATTTATAAACTTGAGGCAAATAATTTAATGTCCTTTGATAATTAGAAGTCAAGAATTAATATATTAAAAAAAGAATTAATATGTTAAAATTTAAATGTTGAATTTAAGAAGATAGAAAAAGAGTATCAGTAAATCTAAAGAATGTACAAAGAATAAAGTAGGGATAATGAAAAACACCTTTTTTTCCCCTTGACTTTTTGAAGCATGGTCCTTTTCTGCCAACCTAATGACAACTCTTGATACATACTATATATTGCCTAGAGGTATTGTAACAATTCCAAGTACAGGATGCATTTTTTAAATTTTTTTGAGACAGGATATTGCTATGTACTCCAGCCTGCTCTTGAGAATTTTTTTTTTTTTTTTTTTTTTTTTTTCAGAACCAGGGATTGAACTCAGGCCCTTGCGTTTGCCAGGCAAGTGCTTATTCTACTGAGCTATCTTCCCAGCCCCTCAGGCTGCTTTTGAATTCATATGTAGCCCATACTGGCCTTGAACTCATGGTGCCCTTCCTGCCCCAGCCTCCCCATTCCTAGGATTACAGGCATGCATCACTATGCCGGAAAGATGATAAAATTTTAAAATTTAAAAAAAAAAAAATAGAATGGTTGAACAAACCATAAATAGATTAACTGAAAAAGGTTCCAAAAGCAAAAGTGAAAATTGAAAAATAAAAAT